TGGTTGGTAGGCCATGACAACAAATACAAGTTTGCCGAGGTTGACACCACCACCACCGCTGGCCGCTCCGGTGCATTGCTCGTAACATCACCTATTGCCTCACGTGTTACCGATCACCGCCGCATGGATTATGAGTAGAAGACCTCTTTATAATTACCCTTCCAGGATATAGTTCAATAAAATCCTGAAATTTCAGATAGGCTTTAAACAACATCCCTTCTATTTAACAGCCTCAAACTTCCGTTCTTCCCAGTTACCAATGACACAAATGTATGACATACTGATATGTGTCAAACCATATTCCAACAGCGCTTCAGTTCCAAGATGGAATTCCACCTTAAAGAAACGCACTCACGTCGTTGTAAATAGGTGGGATCTGCGCAAAACCATTTTTTGGGGACGAAAACGTAGAAGGCTGATTTACGCCCCTCACTTAGGTAGTAAACTTTTGTGTCTTGCGACTTTCCGTTTGGGTGGCAATAACTCTCCGAGTGCTGACCTTACATGGGCCATGGAAGACAAAGTCGCAGTAGTGATGCATTGATCGAGCCAGCCTTTTCTCAAGTGATGTTGCAGATAAATACAAATGGTAAGTTCAGTGACATTTCAGGCTTTGTTCAAACTGCTGGAGTTGAAACGGTGGCTTTATGTGAATTTCTGCGTCTTGTGGGAAGGTAAAACGTAGAGTTGAGGATTACACCAAGCTTGTTAACATTGCCATCCGACAATCAAAACTGTTCAAGTTCCTTCGGTATCACCTATTGTTATACCCAGTTCAGTCGTAATCCGCTGAGTTCCATCCGTGGAGCATTTCGTAGCCCACAGACTATTCAACATATCAACGATTTTAACGTCCGCGTGATAAAAACGACCCGACTCCAAGAAAACAAGAATATACTCATCGTAATGAGAAGAATGCATGTCTGTTGGTGGTTTTGTACCTTTATATAGGTATATTGACAAACCAGAAATATACATTGATATGCAAGTGAGTCAGTCCGCTCGTCAAACCACTCTAGCGGCGTGTGCCAGCTCTCACCGGTATTGCGCCTCGTCATGTCCTCGTAGTGTCGATTGGGAGAAAAAATAAACCTGTAGTTGATGTCCGGTCCTGTTCACTTCCAGAAGTGACGATAGAATGAAGGCAGGATCTGTGGGATATGACACAACACGCTGTGTAACTTGAGTCGTTGGATCAGTTTCAAGCATTTGAACCCCAGATCGACTGGTTAATAACATCCCATGTACCAAAGTTTGACGTAAGCTGTTCTGTAGAGGCACGTGGTGAAGCTTTTAGTTCGATCCTAATTACGATTTGCTTGCGTCTACTTTGCTTTCAATGCAAGAAAATTCAGTCCGAGACTTGTTCCAACATTTTTTGGTAAAAATCAAAGGTATTGCATCAGTTTCATCTGTGAGAGGATGACGTTTGCTACAGAGGGTCCACATAAACGCCATCATGCTTTGATAAGAAAACTGATTAGAAAATATCCGTCCCTGGCATCGCATCTGGTATCGTCCTCCGCATCTGCTCAGGCACAGATATAGCGTCCCTAAACGCTTTGTTCACTTCCCTGTGCGCTCCAAAAAACACTGCATACTACTAAAACTGACACCAAGAGCAACTTTCAGTTCTCAGATCGCCTCTCACGACATTCTCTAGCCATGTGACGTGACTCCACTCACCCGATGCGGCGATGTTCGCTGTCCGAAAGCAAGAAAGCCATTGACTAATGACACTTGCCGGCGGCTCATATATACACCCAGTGACTCATTCACGCGACATACCAACCCCTGACTGGTCCGTCACTGGCAAAGGTGAGCGCGCGATGGTATGCTGTGAGCTGATGCAAGACCTTATAGTAACACAGTGGGTGGCAGCATCTTATTTGCCAAGTTGAATAACTGATTGCAACAATAGTAGAACTCCAATCGCATTTTGTTAACACATTATCACTGGGTAAGTGTGGCGGGAAGCCTAGGTAGACAACACTCCCCACTCGTTTTGGATTTTTCTTGAGAACTATACAAGAAATATGAAACATTGATTGTCGGTGCAAGCCTTGGATCTTTTGAATTAGTTAACAAAGAAAATGAAAGGTGCTTATTGACAGATGGTGTGGTTGTGCCCTGTTTTGTAAGACTTTAATTTTCTCGGCGTCATGATTTCGGGTAGGCCCACCCATGGGGAAATATCGGCCATGCATTACGAAAACTGTTTTCACGTTTGAGGTCAAACAATATTTTAAGTTTCACTCGTTTTAATACCAACGAAGGTTTGGACGGTTGAATTTGAAGTCACAAATAGTATGGGGTTAAAATAGGAACTATTTAGTACAATCCGGCACTGAAGAGATCGTAAAATTCGTGGGGATGCAATTCACTTGTAAATAAAATACATACAATATTTGTATTAGTCTCTTGATTGTACCCGCAAGAGAGTAATGGTTTTAGTTGATGCAGCAAGTACTTCTGAAGGAAATTGTATGTCGTACATGACATACACAATATTTCATTATGTTTGACAGCCCTAGTATGGTCTGCATTAAACACTTGCTTGCTTTGAAGATCACATACTGGCTACATTTTGAACTAGTCTTTTACTCGTCTGAGAATAATTTCATCGGAGTGCACTGAGGCAAAATCACACCATATTTCAATAACTTAATTGTTTTTCAACTAACGTGCGACCAATTTAAATTTAATTTAAATTTGATTTTTCATCAGTTTAAAAGCAAAAGTCACTTCAACGACAGCAGACACACTGGAGTGCCTGGTGCCACTTGCACACAGTGCCTGGTGCCACTGGAGTGCCTGGTGCCACTTGCACACAGTGCCTGGTGCCACTGGAGTGCCTGGAGTGCCACTTGCACACAGCTCGTGCGGTCATCTCAAGCAGCCCACACTCTGAAGCCACAACCTCCGACGACCCTCCATACAGAATATGTACGCTTCTTCGTATTTCATTGCTGTGGTTGTCTTGTTTGCTCTTGCACGCTTTGCCTTTCCGCTGTTGCACACTTTCAGTTTCTCGTTCTGTTTCCGGTTTTCAAGAATCACAACATGGACTGGGCTGTTTGTGGACACTGCCTACACCTTTCTTTTTTGGTAGATGTCATCTCGTTAGATCCTTCAGCATCGGGGGCTGAATCAACGAAACGCGCTAAGTACGTGTGATGCTGTCCGCATGGGGTTGTACGGCCGTAGGCGTAGCCAGGGGGGGGGGGGGCGCAAACGGGGCAATTTGCTACTCTAGAGGCCAACGGGCCCTGTGGCCTTTTGAGGACATGCTGCGGGCCTCAGTCGACATTTGTATGGAACCTGTTCACCTGAAGAGGGCCTCTATCGGCATTTAGATGGCCCCAGCGATCTGCAAACGCCCCTCTTCAGCATTCAAGGCCCTGTCGGCATTCGGCAAGGCATTCAAGGCCCCCATTTTTAACACTTTTACCCTTACCTGGAAGGTGCAACTGGGCGCTAATGAAATTATTGTGAAAGCACCAACGGGCTGTATGTAATGGCGATAAACGTGATGATTATACGTGTATATCGTGGATAGCTGTACGCAAGGAAGCTGTCAGAAGAAAGGTCAAACGAATATTCAATGTCAGGCGCCCGATAAAGTCAGTAATTTCACGGCCGGAGTTGCAAATGAGGTACAACGGAAACATCTTTCATAAATAATCGCAGGATCAGTATCATAGCTCAGACATCAAATTCCAGACAAGTTTTTCGAATAATACGGTTGCCTCACTTACACTGCATGGTAGGATCCCACAGGAAACAGGTCTCGACCATTAGCGTACCTTTCCGTTTGCCAGCAGTCCGGGACGAGATTGGGCCGCTTTGCACTGTCCGGACCTAGTTCACAGATAATGCTTGAACGTGTTTGAAATGTTGCGCTAATGCATCCGACACTCACATTTCCAGGCACGAGTTGAACTTTCACTGCCCTTATTACCCACACGGCTGTGCCGCAACACAGGCCGTGAGAAACTCTGTGACCATAAGGCAAACTTCGCATTCCTTCCATGGTGTGCGTCCCCGACGTGCGGTCTCTGTCCCCCCTCCCCCATACAATTATGTCCCGCAAATCTTGTAGGAAATTTAATCCTTGTTTGTAGACTGAAGTTGTTCTCGTCAAGGACTTCAAACACATGTCGGAGTTTATGCTCGTTTTCATGGAGCTTGCGGATCGATCCCCGTCTCGGCCGCAGGCAAGCCTAATTATATGAAGTGTGCTTCAGAGAAGGAGATACTGCATTATTGCTGACCCTGTATCAGATGCTTCTCAGGTGTGTGCGCTGGCTTCCGTCGCAGGTCTGGAATCCACAGTATTGGTATTGTGACGTGCTGCATGTGCATGCCTTGGCGGTTGTGCATGTACTGTTGGTGTCGCATGCGGTAGTGGCTTGCATGGTGGTTGCTTGGTGCATGTGGTCATGGACGCTCTCGTTGCTGCATGCTGCATGCCCTTATGCCAGCTCCCAGGGCTGCATGCGGTGTATGGTTAGTTGCCAGCTAATGAGTCCTTTGCATGTGTTGCAGACTGGGTGTCTAGTTCGACGGTGTACTGCTGCCTGAATAAACCACAGCTTGGCAGTTGTCGCAGTATCCAAAGAAGGGATCATGGTGCAACGTGTCACCACGCTGACAAGCCCTTACAACGTGGATAATAAGAGACCAAGGGTGATCAAAGAATCGCTGTTTGAATGGCAGGTAGAGTCTTTCTAGAGTCTTGCAAAGGCCCATGCTGATACGCATCCATTGCTTCTGTAGGGAGACTTTTTGGCGAGAGCAGGATACATGTGAGACGATGAAGTCAAGTACCGTTCGCATAATTCAGAAAACAGGCCGTGTACGCGACCCGTTCAACTCTCATGAAGTCGGCGCTCTCGCACACAAATGATCCCTTCAAAAGGCCTCTTTTATTGGCAGTCGGATACGTCTACGTATTTTCGGTGCATCCACTCTAATCGCAACAATTTCAGGCGACCCTTTCGGTTTGAAACAAATGTGATTAAAACCAACGATGGCGGATGCACATGGAACAAAGGCGTACCCAATGATCATGCTGTGCTCTCAAGGATTAGCTACTAGTCCAGCAAACAAGGTGACTTTTTCACGTTTGTGGTAGAGAATGACATAAAATGGCCTGTCTGCAGCGAAGGTCGCGGTTTGAATCCCGATTCTTGTTGTAAATAACACTGTCGCCGCCGCAGCTGTCGTGCCCTCCTCATTGACCTCCATCACCGCCTTATGGATGATACCGCTGACAAAGGTCTTGTCCGACGATATGCCGCTGAAGTTTGCCCCCCGTTGGAAAATCTGCTTGATGCCCAGGCTTCTCATGTAGAAGGGCATCCCATAAAAACCCTCGATCTTGAACGACGGCATCACCACACGCACGGTTCGCTGACGTAGCTGACTGTGTAGCCGGGTCACGTTCAGGCCGTCGAGAGACTTCCGCATCAGGGTCACGCCAGCCATGGAGCGACTGCGCGAGCGCAGCACCAGCAAGCTGTAATCTTGGTTTTGGTACGGTAACGCAACGACATCAAAGTGTGGTCGGGCGGCAATGCCAAGCTCTGCCTCCACCATCATCATGTCTACCCGCCGATCACCATCCGACGTCAAGAACGGCTTCTGCCCGTGCTTCTTGAAGCCATAAAGCCAAGTGCCCTTGAAATACACGGCGCTTAAAAGCACCAGTTGAGCATTCCCGACGTCGTTACTTGACACCAGGTCCTTGATGTGTCCGCGCGTTGCCACCGACACCTGGTTGTTGATGACCTGAGCAGCCTTCAAGGCGTTGCTGGGCAGCACCTCCACTCCGGCTCCGTAGTAGCGCGCCAATAAATCGCTGAAGGTGCGGCGCACGCTGAAGCTGCGCTTGCGATAGATCCTGCTGAACACTGACGCCCTGACGCCGTCACTGGTTCCAGACAAGACGGCCAAGGCCGAGCGGTAGCCGTCGAGGAAGGATCTGTCGTTTGGACCGGACATTCCCAGCACAGGCGTCATCTGGGTGGAGTAGACAGACATAACAATGTCATATCTCTCCTCCGTGTTTCATCAACAAAGATCACAGGGCGATAAATCATGTTTTATGTCCTTTGCAAGGTGAGCTGGAACATGTACCTCGAACCAGTGCAGATAGCACGCCTCACTGAAGATCCATCATCTGTGGCCTCACCTCAGCTCTGGTGGTGCCTTCGGCGGCCAGCCAGACCTGCGACATCAGCAGCGACATCAGGAACGGCGAGATCACATGGTTGTCCATCGGATTCGACGTCACCCCCTTGAGCAGCTTCATGTCCAGGCCAGTGGGCACAGAGGCGCCTCCCAGCGTGGCCAGCAGCAAGAGTGGCGCCAGACAGGCGCCTGAGAAGGCGGATCATCTCAGGTCTCACAGAAACCCACGCAAGTCTCATTTCTGGCGATGGCCGGCAGCAATGTGCGGCCTCGGTTGTTCTAGCGGGGTACGATAGGGCCGCAACAGAGTTGGCGTTGGTTAACTGGTGATGAGCTATAAAGCTGCCAAGAATAACACTGCTCTGTGATGGTTGGCAGGCCATGACAACAAATACAAGTTTGCCGAGGTTGACACCACCACCACCGCTGGCCGCTCCGGTGCATTGCTCGTAACATCACCTATCGCCTCACTTGTTACCGATCACCGCCGCATGGATTATGAGTAGAAGACCTCTTTATAATTACCTTTCCAGGATATAGTTCAATAAAATCCTGAAATTTCAGATAGGCTTTAAACAACATCCCTTCTATTTAACAGCCTCAAACTTCCGTTCTTTTCAGTTACCAATGACACAAATGTATGGCATACTGATATGTGTGAAACCATATTCCAACAGCGCTTCTGTTACAAGATGCAATTGCGCCGTAAAGGAAACGCACTGACGTCGTTGTAAATAGGTGGGATCTGCGCAAAATCATTTTTGGGAATGAGAATGCAAAACGTTGAGAAATTCCCTTTATTTAGTGAGAAACTCTTTGTGTCTTGCGACTTTCCGTTTAGGTGGCAATAACTCTCCAAAGTGCTTGCCTTACATGGGTCCATGGAAGACAAGGTCGCAGTAGGGATGCATTAATCGAGCCAGCCTTTTCCTATGTGGTGTTGCGGCCAAATACAAAGAGCAAGTGCAACGATATTTCAGGCTTTGTTTAAACTGCTGGAGTTGAAACGATAGTTTTTGTATGGATTTCTGCGTCTTGTGGAAAAGTAAAACGTAGAGTTGGGGATTACACCAACTTTGTTAGTATTGCCATACGACTATCAAAACTGTTCAAGTTCCTTTGGTATCACCTAATGTTATACCCAGTCCAGTCCTAACCCGCCGAATTTAATCCGTGGAGCATTTCGTTGTCCACAGATTATTCAACATGGGAAGGAGTTTAACGTCCGCGTGATAAAACGGGCCGGCTCCAAGGAAACAAGAATATGCTCATCTTAATGAGACGAATGCATGTCTGTTGGTGACTCTGTACCTTTATGTAGGTATGTGGACAACCGAGAAATATACATGGCCATGTAAGTGGGTCAGTCCGCTCGTCAGGCCACTCGAGCGGCGTGTGCCAGCTCTCACCGGTATTGCGTCTCGTCATGTCCTCGTAGTGTCGATTGGGAGAAGAAATAAACCTGTAGTTGATTTCCGGTCCTGTTCACTTCCAGAAGTGACGATAGAATGCAGGCAGGATCTGTGGGATATGAGACAATACGCTGTGTAACTTGAGCCATGGGATCAGTTTCAAGGTTTTGACCTTAGGTTGACTGGTTTATAACACCCCATGTAACACAGTTTGACGTAAGCTGTTTTGTAGAGGCATATGGTGAAGCTTTTTGCTCGATGTTATTTGCGCTTTGTGAGATAAAGCCCGTGCAGTCTTTAAGTCAGTGATGTTTACCCAAAGCGTTCTGTATGTTCTATAAAAGCTCTGCATGTTCTATAAAACTGTCATGGCTATATAATTGCTGCATACCATTTGAAATGCTATAAGTCTAAGAATGTAGCACATACTTTGTTTGCAATGCCAGAAAAGCTATTTCGTGATCTCGTTTGACATTTTGGTTGAAGATCAAGGGTAATGCATCAGTTCTCAACTGTGAGAGTATGACTTCAGCAGCTAGTTTGAAGGTTTTGGCTCATGTCACACCAGTGCTAAAAAATGTGTTTCCCCGTGGAAAACTCTGCTTTCCTGCTGAAAGCGTGCATAAACGCCATTGTGCCCTGGTAGGATGGATACAAAAAGGATACATTTGCCCTCCGCATCGCATCCGATATCATCCTTCCCATCGACCTAGCAGCATGTATAGCTTTCCTGTAAGCTTTGCTCGCTTTTCATTGCGCTCGAAAAACGCTGCATGCTACAAAAGCCGATACCGAAAGCAATTTTCATTTCTTAGATTCCCAATAAGGTATTGTCTAAAATCATGTGGTTTGACACTACTCACCTGAGCGGCGATGTTCGCTACCCGAAAGCAAGGAAAACATTGACTGATGACCCTTGCCGGCGGCTCATATATGCACTTAATGACTCATTCACGCGACACATCAACCCCTGACCGGTCCGTCACTGGCAAAGGTGAGCACGCGATGACATGCTGTGGGCTGATGCAAGGCCCTATGATAACACATGAGGTGACAGGATCTTATTCGCCTATTCAATAAATGATTGCCATAATTGCAGAACTCCAATCGCTACTCGTTAGCACATTATCACTGGGTAAGCATTGGGGGAGCCCGGAGTAGCCCACACTCCATAATCCTTTCCGGATTTGTCTTGAAAACTACTCAAGGTATATACAATATTTATATGTAGGTGCAAACCTTGGTCCTGTTGGATTTGTCAAAAAACACGAACCCTACTATTTGATATATGGTGTGGTTTTGTCATGTTTGGTAAGGCATTAATTTTTTCCGGGGTAGGCCCGCCCGTGTAGAATTACAATTTCAAGTTAAGGAACATTCAAATCTGACGAAACTTGGTGGTGAGGCCAAACACAAACTTGGTAGAGCTGAACTCAATGTTGGTAGGGCACTGGCCTCACCATTTAAAGAGGAAACTCCGGCCATCGTCATGCCGGTAAGGAAATATTGCATTTTTAGAACCAAGCTGTTGGAATGTTGCCAAAAATATCTACTAGCCACCTAAATATGGTAGCATTTGGTAGCATTTGGTAGCATGCGAAGGACTGCAACAATAGCGCGAATCCTCGTGATCAAGGGCGAAAAGAATGAAGCAAAATCCTCTGAAGAGTCTATTGTGTTCTTGCTCGGGTCTCAAATTCGTTGCTGGCAAATCACGTCACTGTAGAAGATAGTAAGTGATACTGTTAAGAAATAAGTTTCATATTACAATTGCATTTGTGGGAGATTTTTTAGACTTTTGGTTCACCTGAGCTGGCTTGGCGGCCCTCCTGTCCACCTGAGCTAGCTTGGCAGCCTTCCTGTCCACCTGAGCTGGTTTGGCAGCCGTCCTGTCCACCTGGGCTGGCGTGGTCACCGCCCTGTCTACCTGAGCTGGCTTGGCAGCTGTCCTGTCTACCTGAGCAGGCGTGGTTGCCGTCCTATCCACCTGAGCTGGCTAGGCAGCCGTCCTATCCACCTGAGCTGGCTTGGCAGCCTTCCTGTCCACCTGAGCTGGCGTGGTCACCGCCCTGTTCACCTGAGCTGGCTTGGCAGCCGTCCTATCCACCTGACCTGGCGTGGTCACCGTCCTGTTTACCTGAGCTGGCTTGGCAGCCGTCCTATCCACCTGAGCTGGCGTGATCACCGTCTGTCCACCTGAAGCGGCGCTGCCACCGCCCTATCCACCTGAGCTGGCTTGGCAGCCGTCCTATCCACCTGAGCTGGCGTGATCACCGTCTGTCCACCTGAAGCGGCGCTGCCACCGTCCTATCCACCTGAGCTGGCTTGGCAGCCGTCCTATCCACCTGAGCTGGCGTGATCACCGTCTGTCCACCTGAAGCGGCGCTGCCACCGCCCTATCCACCTGAGCTGGCGTGGTCACCGCCCTGTTTACCTGGGCTGGCTTGGCAGCCGCCCTATCCACCTGAGCTGGCGTGATCACCGTCTGTCCACCTGAAGCGGCGCTGCCACCGCCCTATCCACCTGAGCTGGCGTGGTCACCGCCCTGTTTACCTGAGCTGGCTTGGCAGCCGCCCTATCCACCTGAGCTGGCGTGATCACCGTCTGTCCACCTGAAGCGGCGCTGCCACCGCCCTATCCACCTGAGCTGGCGTGATCACCGTCTGTCCACCTGAAGCGGCGCTGCCACCGTCTGTCCGCCTGAAGCGGCGCTGCCACCGCCCTATCCACCTGGGCCGCTATTGGCCATGAAACTGCTCCTGCACTCAGAACCTTTTGTTCCAAAACCTCGTTGTGAACGAAGCTCCTCGGGTTTCCTCCCCCCCCCCCCCCCCCCCCACGCCACCCGAGCTGAATGAGTGAGCGCCACTAGCATTTGAATCCCATGGTGATAACGTCTTGGCTTCCCACGATGGAGCGCCAAGCTCGAGCAAGAACATCATCCACATGCTTATCTGTAATTGTTTGCCCTGGATTGGCTTCACACTGGAAGCTGACTTGACCGGTCCGTGCTCTCTTCAGTGGTCCGTACACGGGCAGTTTCGGGGTCTGTACCACGTACGAGCTGCGCGGTGGGATTGTGTACTGTATGACAACAAAAGTTCCTTCTTGGATACTCCACTGTTCACGTCAGTTAAATATATTGTCGTGCAATATCATGTTATTAAAGGTTTACCGCAAATCCACACATCATAGCCATCAGAGCAGTATACCAAGTTACACCATGCTGCAAACTTTCATTGAGACTTACATCTAAGCTCGACACCCACATCCACTGGCTGGCCAACGCACACCGAGTGGCTTATGTTGCTTGGTTCATGTTTGGACGCGAAGAGATAGCGCGCGCAAACGGGGCAGACCTGGCTAGATAGATCACTCAAGTAATGTTGGGAGTTGGCGAGACAGCTCGACAAGCTTATGTGCGCATCGTAAACACGC